AAACATGATGGGTTGATAGAAAAGGACTGAAGAGACAATTTTAGATTGGCTGGTTAAAAAACTAAATTGAATACACTGCCCTCTCAATTACCTTGAGTAAAAAAAAAAAAAAAACAGCCTGTACTTTATTCAGCAGGAACATAGTTTTTATTGTAAATGCGACATCTTTCTTCAGGTCAGAAATAAAGGGATGGTAATTCTTGATAGGTGTGCTAATGGCACAGCTGTTTTCTAGCTCATTATATTCACTAAATGGTAGTTCCCATTTTATAGCGGCAGCAATAATAGCATTTCACACAGCCTTTTGAAATTATTGTTTGTCTCTGTTCCCTTCTAGGATGAATGTACATTCTTAAAGAGTTCATATTTTTAGAACTCCAGAATTGCTTGTTCAGTGGGAGGAATAAAATCTTTTCTGTTTTTTTCGACTCAGTTACATGGTAATGTGAATTAAAATTTAGATCACCTTGCCAGTATTCACGATCCTCAGATTCCAAAGGAGAGGGGGCGAAGCAGCGTGTCATAGGACTGTTTGGCACAATTGAATCTACAGTTTGTGGCTCCTTTCCCTAAAGGAAGTGAAGTGTTTTTCAGTAAACTCTCCTTTGCTTCATCACAGTCATTGCAAACTGGTTTCTGAACAAGAGTCGATGCAAAAAGAAACAGGAAAAAAAAAATATCAGGACCTAAAAAGAAAACAGTGTCAACACACATGTGTCTTTTCACATGCTCCTCGCATCTTTGAGTACAGAGTTTAACCACACTTGGTACAGCAACACTCTATAGCCAACATTCTTTGCCTATATAAATGGAATAAAACCAAATAGTTACAGTATTATATTATGTATGGATAATTATTATTTTTTCATTTTAAAAAATTAGTATTCTTTTTGTTAATGGTGAACAACAAGGTATGTCTGAGTCCCATATGACATGGAAAGAAAACTGTATGCGTAAGCTCCAAAATGTTTGTTTCTGAAGTAAAATATTACTGTTTAAGTAGGGATTCCTTTGGCAATTTTTAAACATGATGCTTTTCCATAAGTTGACTTTACAGATGTGCTGGCTGTGATTGTTTTTGGTGTATCCCACCCCCTTCCTCCCTTTTCTGTAAGAACTCTGGCCAACGAGCGGTCAGAGGCAAGATACAAGCAAACAATCTAGGGCTCCAGAGCGACGAGTCCTCATTCTCTCCTTTGCAGCAGAGGCTAAACCAAAATCTACGTTGTTTGAAAGGTGAAAACATGTGTCTCATCTGCTCATGCTTCAAAGTTCTTTCTGTATCATACCCTTGTGAAAACGGAATGTGGCCCAATCATCTGTCCACTCATAGCACCTCTATGTTCTTTTATATAGCTTTTGTCTTAAAAAAGGAAATTCTCTTACTTTTACTTTGCCCTTTCCTCCTTAATTTTTTTCTTCTTTCAAGAAATATTTACCATGTGTGATTTTTTTTTTGTGGGGGGGAATAGGAAGCCATAAGGAAACAAAAGACAGACCAGTTTGCCATCATTGAGCTTGTATTCTAGATGAGAGAGAATGAAAGAAAAATAAGTAAAACATGTATTGTATCAAACAGGGGTAAATGTAATCAATGATGAAGAAACAGGAGGAGGACAGTAAAAGCCAGTGAAGGGGGTGGAATGAGGGATTTCAGTTTTAGATAAGGTGGTCAGAGAAGGTTTCCTCTGGAAGGAAGATTTGCACAGACATCTAAATCTCATTTTAAATATATTCTCTGGGAAAATTAGTCACAGCCCCTGTTTGTGAAATCGTAATCTATAGTGATCATGGTGTGCATTTACATCCTCTGTGACAGAAAGCTTGCTTAATTATTCTTCCCATTGAATCCTGCTAAGCAGAGAAGTTGCAGACAGATATATTGAGGAGAATCAGAACTGGAGCATCTACAATATATATGACTCTCTGCCAAGGCTACTGTCTATGAAAAGTAGTCACAAATTTACCTGTGCTTCTGCATTACCTTGAAAAGATCTGCAGATTGGCTCTGCTTATCTTGAGGTAGAAATTTCATTTGTTCCTTCGTTAGTGGCATGTTGGGTTGTATTCTAATCTTCAGACTGCAGCCTGTTTGTCCCAAAGAGCCGTTGGCCTATCTGAATTGTGGGGAGATGCTAGCAATGTGAAGTGCTTCTCTGAGAAAAGTTGGATTATATTCCCAGGACTTTTCATCCAATTTCTTCCTATTCTTCAGCTTAGAGAGCTTTTTGTTTTAATTGTTCCATAAATAATTATAGTCAGTTATTTCTTTGTTAGAATCCAGTAGTTTAAAGCAATTTTCATTTATTTTAGGATATATATTGCCATAATCTTAAAATGTTTTAAATGGAGATTGGAATGATTTTAACACTCAGTTAAAAACCCCTTTTGCAGACAGACCAAAATGCTTTTTTGTTTTTGTTTTTGTTTTAAATTATCAGAATATCATGTGTCCATACTATTGACATTACACTCTGGGCCTTACTGCCCATATATATTTTATTAGATCAATCTTTTCATGAAATAATTTGTATCTTAAAATCACATAAGTGTGCCTCCTGTGTGTTGATCAAAGCATTTATCAATTCAAGCTGCCTGATAGTACGGAAATGATGAACAGGAGGTTAACAACATGCCACTTCTGTCCTTTATTGTGTCCCTCTTCACATGCAGTGTTCCCTTGGTATCTCTAATTTTCTTGAAGAGCTCTCTAGTAATAGGCAGAGTACATCATGCTAAATGCTGGGCTAGATGAATCACAAGCTGGAATCAAGTTTCCTTGGAGAAATATCAGCAACCTCAGATATGTAGATCATGCTACTCTAATTGCAGAAAGTGAAGTCAGGAAGTAAAGTGTCTTTTGAGGAGGTTGAAAGAGGAAAGTGAAAAAGCTAGCTTGAAACTCAGCAGTAAACAACTAAGATCATGGCATCCCATCTCATCACTTCATGGTGAATAGAAGGGGAGAAAGTGAAGGCAGTGACAGACTTTATTTTCTTGGGCTCCAAAATCACTGAAGATGGTGACTGCATCCATGAAATTAAGGGACACTTGATCCATGGAAGGAAAGCTGTGATAAACCTAGACAGCATATTAAAAAGTGGAGACATCACTTTGCCAACAAAGGTCTGTCTAGTCAAAGCTATGTTTTTTCCAGTAGTCATGTATGGATGTGAGAGTTGGACTATAAAGAAAGCTGAGCACTAAAGAATTGATGCTTTTGAACTGTGGTGTTGGAGAAGATTCTCGAGTCCCTTGGACTGCAAGGAGATCCAGCCAGTCCACCCTAAAGGAAATCAGTCCTGAATATTCATTGAAAGGACTGATACTGAAGCTGAAGCTCCAAGTTTTGGCCCTCTGATGCGAAGAGCCGACTCATTGGAAAAGACCTTGATGCTGGGAAAGATTGAAGGTAGGAGGAAAAGGGGACAGCAGAGTATGAGATGATTGGATGGCATCACAGACTCAATGGACATGAGTTTGAGTAAACTCTGGGAGTTGGTGATGGACAGGAAGGCCTAGTGTGCTGTAGTCAATGTGGTCTCAAAGAATCAGACATGACTGAGTGACTGAGCTGATTCCACTAGTCAGGTATGGATTATGAGAATTTATCCTTAAAGAAGGTTGAGGACTGAAGAATTGATGCTTTCAAATTGTGGTGCTGGAGAAGACTCTTGAGAGTCCTTTGAACCAGTCAATCCTAAAGGAAATCAACCCCGAATATTCATTGGCAAGACTGATGCTGAAACTGATACTTTGGCCATCTGATGTGAAGAGCCGACTCATTGGAAAAGACCCTCATGGTGGGAACCATTGAAGACAAAAGGTGGAGGAGGTGGCTGAGGATAAGATGGTTAGAGAGTGTCAGCAGCTCCGTGAACATGAAATTGGGTATATTCTGGGAGTTAGTGGAGGCAAGAAGAGCCTGACATGCTGTGGTCTATGAGGTCACAAGAAGTAATGTATGACTTAGCAACTTAACAACCACCACATAATTTCCAATGAAACCTTGCTTGTAAATACTGAAATGTAATGAAATATTTAATTTTAATTTATTGGATGCTAATTTTTAAAATATGCCTTTTTTTCTAATATTAAAACACTTTGGATAATCTCTAAATTATTCCAAAATTTTCAATAGAAAACAATTTAATGTCATCAGATATACCTTTTGGGGGAAGAGTTTTTGCCCTTAGTCAGAATTTATGGTGAAAAATATATTGTGTTTAGTCTAAAAAATATTCATAACTATCTGCTTTGGGGCAAGACAGATACATAATTCACTGGTGATAATAGTAAACACATTTAATATAAAATGACCTGTGGTATGACTGAATAAAGTATAGGTTATTATGACAGCAAATAGGAGACGCAATTGACCTATGCTTTAATCCACTCTAATGATCTTCTTTCAAGATTCCTTTGTTCAGTGTAATTTACAGTGGATAAATTATACTGTGATAATTTATATATATAATGACAGTATAATTTATTGTCGAAACCAGGATACATTTGAAGGTGAAAGAGGACTCTATTTATAATTGTGTGAGACAGTAGCATAACATGGGCACACTAGGAGGTATGGCCTCCCTGTCTTATCCCAGCACTTTAGGTGTAGAGACCTTGAATATGTCTATAAATACAAAGGTGCATATGTGTTGCTATGCCGCTTTTATATTTTGGAAAGGTCACTTAAGCCACAAATCTGGCAGAGTCTTGTCTGTGCTACCTTTGTTTTTCCATTTAGAGATAATGTAAACTGCTAAGATTAAGTATTTTAACGTTATCTTTTAAACCACAATGCACAGATTAGACATTGGGTAGTTTGCTACAAGAATCTTTGTGATTCTAGTGGGCAAGTTGTTAAACTGCTCATTTGACTGTTTTGGTGTAGGCCAGTGATAACTGCACTAGCTTACCTGTAAAAGCATTAAACCACAGTACAGGGAAATTCCTGGAGGCCTCACTTCTGTTGAAAGTTGCTTCTGTTTGCTTTGCAGGACCAGTGGTTTTGGCGAGTCAGAAACAACAGGGTGATGGATGGATACCCCATGCAAATTACTTACTTCTGGCGGGGCTTGCCTCCTAGCATTGATGCAGTTTATGAAAACAGTGATGGGAATTTTGTCTTCTTTAAAGGTAAGGGATATTTCCCGTGTCTCGCTCTGTTGTATCCTGGTCATGTTGTCCAGGGCCGTGTTGTACACGTAGGGATGAATAATTAAAACCTGTTGTGTGAGTTTAGGTAGCTAATTCATTCTATAAAATGAACCACATATGTTAGCTACAAATATAAATGAAGCAAGATCAAAGATAATTTTTAATTCTCTAATTTATGTTTTCTCATACAATATCCCCGTTTGTAAGTCACATTTAGGAGGCACTGTGATCACTTAGAATTTTTAGATTTGGCCTAAAGGCACCAGAGAAATAAATACACAAATAAATAAATTAATTAATTAAAAGTAATTTTTCTAAGGTGTTTGGTATTTTTAAGAGTATTTGGGATTGCTTGCTGTTTTTACACAATGAAGTTCATTTTACTTATTTTCATATATAATCTCTTCAGTGTAATTTAGTCAACTTAATCCCTTTACATGATTTAGTCAATTTATCTTAAATAGTTTTCAATAAACCAAGAAATTACTCATAAAGATAAGAAAAACTTATGAGTAGAAGAAAGTCACCCAATCATTTTACCCAATAAAATTTGTTGTTTGTTATTTATCTGAGTGACAAATTTCAATTGCACAAATACTAATGTCTAGCATGCAAAAGTGAGATTATTTGAATTAAATTAAACTGCATTTAAGTCAAATGACTGGTACTCCCGTCTTCTAAAGTTGTGCTGCGCCTAGTCGCTCGGTCAGGTCTGACTCTCTGTGACCCCATGGGCTGTAGCCTGCTAGGCTCCTCTGTCCATGGGGATTTTCCAGAAGAGAATACTGGAGGGGGACCTTCCTAATCCAGGGATTGAACCCAGGTCTCCCGCATTGCGTGCGGATTCTTTTGCTAATATTCAAAACAATAAATCTTGAAGATCTTAAGTCTGTTGGGTGCAGGGGGCCCAGGGAAAAGAGACTGACTGAGTTGAAGGATTAAAAGAATTATGAAGAGAACAAGTTTGAGTTGACTTGAGGAAAAGTAGAATGCAGAATGAATGTGAATGGATTACTTAAGAGTCTAAAGGACTGAGAATAAGCTTAAATAAGGATTGAGACTGAGGGGAAAGACAAAGGAGTCTTAACCAAATAAAGCAATTATTCTCAGGACCAAACTAGAAGAATTTGTAGTGGTGATGAGAGTAATGAAAATACAAGATTTGCGAGATACTTGTCATATTTTAAGTGAAGTCCAAACCACCCATATAAAATCAAGGTATATACTCAGAATTTATTTTATCTTTACAAATTATAACTTGAGAAAGAGGGGGTATAGTATATTAATTATAAGAATACCATGGTCCTGAAGTCATATTGCTAATTTTGAGCACTTACTAGCTATATGAACTACACAGCTGCTCAATTTTCCGTGTGCCTCAGTTTCTCCATCTGGAAAATGGTGGTACTAGTGTCCCACATCTCAGAATTGAAGACTAAATTAAGAGTACATGTAAAGTGCTTGGTACAAGTAAGCCCTCAATAAATGCCAACTATTGCTGCTGGTGGTATGATTACTATTAATATTATTGCCCTCCTGCTCTCTATAATAAGTGTATAAAGGAAGTAGACACATACTGTACCATTGCAGACAAAGAAAGGATACATCTGAAGGGTCTGCATCTTAGAGCCATGGTATCTGGAGAAAAATCATCCTCCCCTATGCTTTCTTTGGTCCTGTGTGTGGTAGCAGCAAAAAAAAAAAAAGGAAAGAATAAGCCCTAGGTAGCCTACGGCTGGAGGGCTGTTCCAGGGGGTCCCGTCTCATCCCAGGATCAATAGTGCTCTCTGACAAAACTGCCTGAGGAGAAACTGCCACAGTCCTCAATCAGTGTTCCTTCAGCTCTTTATTGCCGCAGGGCCTTCTCACTTTTTATCCGTGTTGCATCTCCTCACTCCCTCACTCTGGAATGGCTGGCTCCTTTTCATCTTTCAACAGCTGGCATAAAAGGGATCTCTTCAGAGTGCACTCCCTGTCCACTCCATTTAAAGCAATATCTTCCAGCTTGCACCAGCCCTTGCAAAAATGTGAAATTACCTATGGCGTTCAAATGTAAATTTTCTGACAGATGGAACTGGTTTCTCTTTTCTGGCACACGGACTGTATTTTCAGTGCCCAGAGCAGTGTTGGGTGCATAGTAGGTGCTCAACAGACATTTTAGTAACAGTGATACGGTTAAATATTGATTTGACTCAGTATAGTGTTTCTTATGTTGAGATGCTAACACCAGAACAATTCTGTCTCTTCTCACATATATACTTTTGAATGTTTAGCTTGTCAGTGGTGTCTCTTGATATACTGTCAATATAAAGAAATCTCTAATCTTAAAAGTTTGCCACTCGAAGGACCCTGCTATGATGCTTCCTTCTCACATTAGCTTCAGATAAAGTTGTGAACATGCAGCTCCTTTATTCCAAATGCCATTGCTTATCCAGAGGGAGCCAGAGCTCTGGTTGCTTCCCATAAGACTATACTTTTTTCTGGTATCTATCTCATTATTGTCAGGAGAATTAAGAGTCCCAGAACTCTGGGCTTCGGGTGACACACCACCCCCTTTCTTATCTTTCTTGCAGCAATTACAATCAAAACCCCTGTCCCAGCTTGCCACCATAATGGCCTTTATCACCTCAAAGTGTAGGTAATCAGATCATCTCTTTCATCTCAAGACCATCATCGTCAACTTGCTCTGGGACACTGAGACCACTTCATCTCCAGCAATCCAACTTGCCTCCCTGTTTAATTTTTTACATATCGTCTGGCAAACTATATGCTTCACTTATTTATCGCTCATCTGTATCCTTCTCACTGGAATATTGGCTCATAAGGTCCAGATCTCTATTTCTTTTATTTTTTTTTTCATTTTAATACTCCTGTCTCCAATACCTCAAACCAGGAGTTGACAAACTTTTCTCTGTAGTGACCAAATAGCAAATATTTTAGCCTTTGAAGCCTGTACCATCTCTATTACATATCCTTTTATATTTTTCAACTTTCAAATAATGTAAATACTCTTCTTAGATTGTGGACTGTACAAAAAAACAGGATGCTTGTCCTAGTTTGCTGAACTCTGTTATAATCAATGTCTGGAATGTAGTAAACACTAAACAAATAATTATTGAATTGATGAAGTATAAAACGCAAGTCCTAATCTGGGTTTGTATTCACAGCTCTATACAAGTTGGTCTCAGCCTCCGGTCATCCTGGATAACTGTTACTAACCTATTTAAGAATTATTCTTCTGCAAGTTGTTGTTTTCTTGGTCCTCATTCTCTTTGTTTCTTTCTCCTTGTTTTCCCTTTGTGTTTTTCTCTTCTGATATGTACTGTGCACGTGCGTGCTCAGTCACTGACTCTTTGCAGCCCTATAGACTGTAGCCCACCAGGCTCCTCTCTCCATGGGGTTTTCTGGGCAAGAATACTGAAGTGAGTTACCACTTCCACCTCCAGGGGATCTTCCTGACCCAAGGATCTAACCTGCACCTCCTGCCTTATGCAGTGGAAGTTATCAATATACAGTTATAAAAGCATCTATAGATGTAGTCAATTTTATATTCTTAATAGAATTTTATTGCTTTTTGATATGTAAAGATGTAGTATAAGGGTTGACTTTGCTTCCAGCTAATATGTAACAACAGGGATCAGATTTGACCTTCCACCTAAAACCACTAAAAATTGGACAAAGCATATAAAACAATAATTTTCATGACATTGGACATCAAGAAAGGTAGTGAATCTTTAGAGTTAAAAACAAAGAGAAGTAAGCCTAGAAGTTTTCCCAGTTTCCTGTCTTGAAAGAATTCTAGGCTATGGACCAACATCTAAGAATCCAGGTAGAGCTCAAAAGATGCTCTCGGTTGAGGACAGAGCTGAGTGTCAAGGAGAATGAGGTGCCTACAGTTAACAAGACAAAGTAATGCAGAGGAAAGAGCTGTGCAGACTGGAGATGCGGAGTTTTGCAGCAGAGACTCCTAAGGTGTGAGAGAGAATTGGTCCGTATATGTGTGTAAGCATGCAACTGAAGCCTGGAGAGAGAATCACGCAATGGACATAAAAGAAGCACAGGCTGACACTCACAGAGGGCTGACATAAGCACTTGCTGCCGCCAGTCGCGGGTTGTCCACGCACACTGAGCAGAGCCCTGAGCAGACTCTTGCCTCGGTAGTGGGGATTATTTATCCTAGAAGGGGCACTGTTTCATTCCTCCCTGACAAATCTTAAAACACTTGAAGTAATCAAACTGTTTTGAAGTAACAGCCCTAAAACTAAGGTCAAGAATAGTTATAGGGATATAAACATAACCACATAATCAGGAAAAATTCACAGCATCTGACTTCCCCATAAGATCAGGAATAAGACAAATGTATCCACACTTGCCAATTCTATTCAATATTTTATGCATGCGTGCTCAGTCATGTCTGACTCTCTGTGACCCCATGGACTGTAGCCCACCAGGTACCTCTGTCCATGGAATTTCCAGCCAAGAAAACTGAAATGGATTAGCATTTCCTACTCCAGGGGATCTTCCCAACCCAGGGATTGAACCCACATCTCTGGCATTTCCAGCATTGGCAGACAGATTCTTTACCACCATGCCACCTGGGAAGCCCCATTCAATACTGTACGGGATGTTTTAAAAAACATGAAGTAAAATAGTGTTCACAGACAATGTGGTTGTCTATGTAGAAAATTGGATGCCATCAGCCATTTATCTATAATTGATCAGTGAGTTTAGCAAGAATGCAAGATATAAGACTATCATGCAAAAATTAATTGTATTTCTATATGTTTTCAAGACTGTGAAGAGTCTGAGATTTTACCCTAAGCTAACAAGTAAGCCTACCACACTTTCATGAATGTTGGCAGAAGATATGAAACTCCTGGATCAGAGAAAAAGAGAGGATCAAAAGAAGTAGCTGTTTGTATGAGTTCCCTGAGCCCCAGTTCTCAAAGGGTGATGTGAAATTTGCCCATTGAAATACT